GAGGCCCAATGTCCATCTGCTACCTTAATACTAAACCTATAACTATATGCACATGAATCTATTTCCCCATCATCATATATAAATATATTTACATATGTCCATGTCTCTATTTAGACCTCTATAAATGGCTTTTATCTCTTAGTTCTTTCCTTTATTTTCTTTTACTTTCCTCTTGTGCTACTATCTTGTTCAGATTTCAGACCTTGAACTATTTACAGGCTTTTCTTTTTTTGTTGTTGTTTTCTTTTGTTGCTTTGTTTTGCTCTGTCTTGTTTTTTGTGCATATTATTATCTCTGCAGGTCTAGCTAGATAAGATAGGTGGAAGAAACAATCAGGAGGAGAAAACAATGGGACTGACAGTTCCAGAGGGACATGGGAGAGGGGAGGGGGCGGGGAGAAGTGGGTGTTAACAAACCCAGGGACAAGGGAACAACAAGTGATCCAAAATTGATGGCAAGGAGGATATTGGAGGGCTTGATCAAGGGCAATGTGACGGAGAGGAATTACTGAAACCCAAATGAAGGCTGAACATGACAGTGGCTGGTTTTTAAGAAATAGATTGTCATACTTTTATTCAAAGGTGTTTCTGGATGGGCTCCAACTGCCCATCCTCTGTTAGTAGCAAACCACTTAACCACTTGTACCACCCAGTGACCTAAAAGTGGATATAGATTTCCTGTTACTACATTTGGTGCTCTTTGTGGCATTAAAAAAAAAAATGCTCCCAGTCTCCTTGAGCCTTTGTGTTAGGTCCAAAACTCACTAGTAAGTGGATGTGCAAGCCCAGCGAGGGAAAGCAGAAAATGTAGGAACATTTTTGGAAAATAAAGTATAGTACAAGTCTTGGGTTTATGTCCTAATTCTGACAATCACTTCCCTGCTTTGCAACTTTGCTCTCTGTCTTTCAGTTACCTTAACTTCAGGTTCTTTATCTCTCAAGTGAAAGTTTTCATCCCAAATATATTCATGCACTTTACATTCTATCAGCGACTCCACATTTGCACCCTCATATTAGGCAATGCATTTACAGGGGTGAGGTTTTGCTTTGCTTTGGTGGATGACATTGGTTTTTCAAATTGTGTTATATACCTATTGACACATTCAATTAATTAAGACGTGTGTCTTCTAGAATTACAAAATTCACAGAGATTCAAGAGGGGGCTATTTATGTGTCCACTGTGTACAGAAGCTTCATTTGATTGCCTTTCCAAGTGAGTCATGCCATATTCATACATACATGCAAAAATATTGAAGTTAAAAGTCAATCTATTTTAAGTAAATGTACAATTCAGTTGGACATATTTGTTCATGACATAGTGGATTAAATGGTATGGTAAAGTGGTTCACTAGCTGTGAGCAATCATAGGTATTGAGCATTTTGTATATTTCAGGCTCTGAGCTTGAAAGATACGGTCTTCTATAATCTTTATGATATACAAGTGGGGTTAGATACTATCATCCCTATTTTACAGAATGAGGAAGTTCAGGCTCAGGCTTTAGCTAACTTATTAAGGCTTTAGCTAACATGTCCAATATTTTAATGCTTGTAAACAAGCCTTAGAATTTGGGTTTTAATCTGGGTCCGAATGACCCTAAAGTCCACACTATTATTTCATAGTCCAGGGAACTTCAGAACATGATGGTGGTACCATCGTGTGTCTGGGCTGCCTCCCCTGTTGAAGGTACTCTTGCTTCACGGATGCCCCTGACTGGCCCTTAGAAAGCCAAGTGATCCATAGAACTAGTGTATGCTCTCCTCGTACTTTCACCTCCTGACAGTCTTTGCTTCCCTTTCCCTCAGCATCTGAAAAGAAGATGTTGACTAATCGTTCTAGCGTCACTCACCACAGCAAAGTCACTTCACGGAGTGGCAGCCTGACTTCAGCCATGAGACTGATGCCAAGCCGGCTAGCCAAGGATTCTGAGCGCAAGGCAGAGGTAAGTCCAATTTCTTCCCAGAGACAAACATCAGGCATCAGCTTCAACCTCATGGGTAGTGTCTTTTCTCTGGTGTTACTGAATACACTCTAATTACAAGTTCTTTTTAGCATTTAAGGTGACTCATGTGGTTTCATAATTGAGGCTATGTCAAGGGAAGTCAAGCCTTAACCTAATTTTAATTGAAATCAATAATAAAAAGAAAAACAGACAAAAATACGAATAAGCCAGTACCCAAAAAGTTAATTTCCACTCATGGTGACCCTGTATGTGTGGAAATTAAGATCACCCAATGGCTGATCTTTCAAAGTAGACATCAGACCATTTTTGGGAGGTACCTCTTGGTGGACTCAAACTTTCAACCTTTTGGTTAGCAGCCAAGCATGTAACCTAATCAGTGATTCCAAAGTGTTATTGCCAGGAGCTGGTGCCCATTATGGAATTAAAATAAAAATCTGTTCCAGTCTATTTTGGAGATGGTTTAGCAGGCACTGCCAAGGGGAGGCACAAATAGTAGGACCTTTTCCAGAAGACGGAGAGTAATTTTGAACTCTTTGTTCTGTTTGGGGCTGAGGTCTGAGAATTTTCTCCTACATTTCTCTATATTATATTAAAAGCCACCCTAAAACTCAAGTGCACAAGTAACAATTTGTTACAATCATGGATTTTGTGGTCAGACCTTTGGAATGCTTGTTTTGCCCCCATATTTTTGGGACCTACACTGGATGATTCTGTGGCTGGAAGCTGGAGTCACTCATAAATGTGGTTAGTTGACACAAGTTTAAGTCCAAGGTCTTAGCTACAACATGTACAACACGGCATCTTCACGTGCCCTGGTCTTCCTTTCAATATGGTGGCTAGATCTCAGACACTGTTGTCCTGAGAGGGAGTTCAATGTTGCCCTTTATGACATAATTTTCGGAGTCACACAGTATTACTGTATATATTCAAGTATAAGCTGACCTGAATAACAGCTGAGGCATCTAATTTTACCACAAAAACTGCATTAAAATGTGCTGAAAAACTTGGCTTATACATGAGTATATATGATACTTCTGCCACATTCCACTTGTCAAAACAGACTCATATTCCTGCTCAGGTTCAAGAATGTGGGAACACAATCTCCTGATGGGGGAATGGTAAGATTCTAGAAGAGGATATGGGAAATACTGCTGTGACTATTTGTGGAAAGCATACTCTGTTAACTGTCTTAAATTAGGGTCAGCGACTTGTATTCAAAGTAAACTGGCCATTAAGTAAACAAGGCATTAGGCTCAACAGATCTTGAGCATTTTATTTGCCTTTTCTGGGTCTTTATCTTTTTACCTCCCCAAGGGAAAAATAATTGTGACCACCTATGGGAAGGGACAGTTAGCAGAAGAACACATGACACAATTCTAGCTCTTGGTTCACATAACTTTGAGAAGTGAATTTGACTCCAAATCCCACTTGTTCAGAATATGAATCTGTCATCCACTGTGTAAGCAGTGGTATGGTATTATTGTGCATGAACTGACTGCCACTGAATAACAGGAAGAATTAAGGAGCTAATGACTACCCACAGTTGCCTATGATGTCTGGGGAGATTAGGGCATGTCCTTCTATCCAAGTGTCGGGCATAGTAGGCTTCAAACCATTTGGAAGGACAATGTAACCGAGAGGAATTCTTGAAACCCAGGCTGAACATGATAGTGGGATAGGAGGAAAGTACAAAGAAATAGAGGAAAGAACTAGGAGGCAAAGGGCATTTATAGAGATCAAAATAGAGGCCTATACAGATGTAAGTATATTTATATATGATAAGGGGGAAATAGATCTATGTACATATATTTATAGGTTTAGTATTAAGGAAACAGATGGACAGTGGGCCCCTACTCAAGTACTCCCTCAACATAAGAACACTTTGTTCTAGCAATTTGGCAGTCTTAGATGCTCACCTTCCTGGCACGATCACTGAAGACAATGGGTGCACAAGCAAATGTGGTGAAGAAAGCTGATGGTGCCCGGCTATCAAAAGATATAGCATCTGGGGTCTGAAAGGCCTGAAGATAAACAAGCGGCCATCTAGCTGAGTAACAACAAAACCCACATAGAAGAAGCACACCAGCCTGTCCTGACACTATTGCTGGAGACAAAGTGGGTGCATAAGCAGATGTGGAGAAGAAAGCTGATGGTGCTTGGCTATCAAAAGATATATTCTGGGGTCCTATAGGCTTGAAGATAAACAAGCGGCCATCTAACTGAGAAACAACAAACCCACATGGAAAAAGCACACAATCCTGTGAGATCACGAGGTGTCGAAGGGATCAATCAGGCATCAAAGACCAAAAAAATCATAGCATTGTGAATAAGGGGGAGTGCAGAGTGGGGACCCAGGGCCCATCTGTGGGCAATTGGACATCCCTTGCAGAAGGGTCGCTGGGAGGAGACAAGCCAGTCAGCGTGCACTGTAGCAATGATGAAACATACAATTTTCCTCTAGTTCTTGAATGCTTCCTTCCCCACCCCACCCCACTATGATTCCCAATTCTACCTTACAAGTCCAGCTGGACCAGAGGATGTTCACTAGTACAGATAGCAACTGGAAACAGAATCCAGGACAGATAAAGCCCTCAGGACTAGTGGTGAGAGTGGTGATACTGGGAGAAAAGGGGGAACAGATTACAGGATCTACATATAACCTCCTCCCTGGGGGACAGACAGCTGAGAAGTAGGTGAAAGAAGACACCGGATGGTGTGAGATATGGCAAAAGAATAATAATTTACAAATTATCAAGGCTTCATGGGGGAGGAGAGGGTGAGGGGGGGAATGAGGAACTGATACCAAGGGCTCAAGTAGAAAGCAAATGTTTTGAGAATGATGAAGGCAACAAATGTAAAAAAGTGCTTGACACAATGGATGTATGTGTGGATTGTGATAAGAGTTGTACAAGCCCCCAATTAAATGATTTAAGTACTAAAAAGAAAGAAAGAAAAAAGAATGGGGAAAATGTTCCAAAACTGATTGTGGTTATGATTGTACAACTCTTTTGATGTGATCGAACTATTGAATTATATGACATGTGGATTATATGCCAGTAAAACTGCTTTTAAAAATCTATGTAAGAAAGAAATGATACAAATTATCTTGAAAGTAATTTGAAAATGTGTAGCAAGATCCATAAATAAGCACCTTAAAATTTTGACCTTATCAGGCCTACAAGCCTAAACTTAAAGACAAAGATTTATGTATCAAAATGTTCTTCGCAGTATTTCAACAGCAAGCAACCAAAAGCAACTTACATGTCCAATATAATGAAAAGGGATAAATAAATTGGGATAAAATCCCAGGATAGTAGTAAATAGAATTTCAAAGTTAGACTTGAATCTCAGCTTTGAAAACCCACTAGAAAATCTGTGAACTTAAGAAGACTTTTATCCTTAAGTTACTTACCTAAACTTGGTCAATAAAAAGCCTAGTCTAGTACTCAGCTATTTGAATTTATTTTAAAACAAATACTTATTACATTAAGCTTGTTTCATTGTAACATGAAAGATAAAGGGGAGCGAGATATATTAATAAACACCAAAATTCCTGTGTTAATGAAAACATTTTAGAAAAGCAAAACTCTCTTTCTCTTTAAAACTTGCTTATACCCCCCCAAAACAAAAACTGGTCTCTAGATTTCTTGAGTTCTTTTACTAACACTGCACACACATTTTGAAGAGAATAAAGACTACTTTTTCTTTAATTCTATGGTCTTCATGCCTTCGACAAACTATTACCAACAAAAAAAAAACGTGCACAAAGAAACAGACATTAGACTAAACAAGCAGGGGAAAAAACTTCAGTTTTCCTCAGCCTGACCTATAGGTTGATTAAAAAAACCAACCTAACAATGTTGGCTTTTCAAAGTGAAAATTAACACATATTTGTATAATAAACCTGTAGAGAATGTGTACCTAAAAAAAATCATATGATTGCAAACATTGAAAGTTATGGTTAGAAAAGTATTTTTGTGACTAAAAATAATCATGAAATATTGGGGACAAGGCGGTTCAAATATGTATATGGCATGATTTCAATCATACCTAAAATGCAAAATAAGGAGACCAGATGGAAATATTAAAAGAGAGAGAGAGAAAGAAAGAAAGAAAAGAGAAGAGGGGAAATAAGTGATTTCTCTTGAATATCCAATTGGTGATCAGAATTGCACCCTATTCGAGATTGCTTCCCTATGGCCAGATATAGCATTTCACTCTTTGATGTCACTGTTCAGTAGGTTTGTATACTTATTGAATGAATGCATGCCCCATTGAGATTGTATAACATATATCAGAGAGATAATACTTATAATACTTAATTACTTATAGTAATTATTCTATATGATTACTATGAGTTGGAATTGACTTGTGGCAAATGGTTTCAATAATGCTATTTTTAGCAAAAGGGGTCTTCCCCCCTTTCCTGTGCCTCCCTGTGGTACTTCCAAGTTATTCTCAGGATGGTGGGTCAGTTAGGCCTAGTAGTTTGGGAAAAGACAATTCGGGGACTGGGAATGGGCATTTCTTTTTATGGAAACCCTCTGGCTTTCTGATGCTGTCCCTTTCCAGGCTCCCAATTCAGTCAGTGAGCTGCATGGCCCAACTGCCATCTCTGGAAGAGATCAGTTGAGAACCAGATGAAATCCTTGCAGGCCACTGAAAACCTAAAGCCACAGACTTATGACTGTTAACTCTTGGCTCACATTGAGTGATCTAGAAGGAATCAGTTCTGAGTTTTATTCTCTCGTGAAGAAAGCATGTTGGATTGGGATTTCATTGAACAAAGATTTATTAAGTGCTTATTCTATATGTTGTTCTAGGTACATGATTAGACTAAAACTTAGATATTCTCTAGCAGTTCTGAGGCACAGGTAGGAAGAAGAGGCTCTTTGGGCTGCATATTCCTCACAATTGGTAGAAAGTGAGCTTGCCCTCTGGAGGTAGGAAAACCAAGGTCCCTCTTGCTAGACCATGGC